AAAGGCCACTTCTGCTCTGACATGATAGAAACAAAAAATTTTCTATTACTTCAGCAAATTTTAGTTGCCTAATACCAATCATTAATGCACTGGTTTACTTAAGCATTTAATGTGTAAGAGAACTACTTTAGTTACTTAAAACCCAATAGAGATGGGTGCACCAAAATCTCAGAAATCACCACTAAAGAACTTATTCATGTACAATGAAAAATAAATAGAAATATAATTTAAATACATATATTTATTATTATGGTTATTATATATACATAAGAAACCAGTAAATGTTAAAAAAAAAAAAAATAGAAACAATTTTTAAGAATTTCAGAGTCTGCACATAAAATGACCTAAAGGCTTTTCCCAATTCTGATTTTAATTAGGAATCCACAGGTAACTGTTTTAAAACAAACATAATTTCTTCTTTCTCTCACTGCCCCTGAATTCAATTTCAAGTTAAGTGGGGAATAAGAAAACTAATTAAAGACCCTCTTGCTGTTCCCAATAAGCACTTTAGGTGTTAATCTTTTGTCTAGAGTTTGTCAACAATGTACTTAACAAGTAGCACAAATCAGAGCTTAAACTGTAATTTAAAAGATGAAAAACTTTGATTTTCAGTGGTGTCAGGAAGAAAAAGAGGACATTATATGAGAATCTTAAAAAATTAAAAGAATTTAAAATAAAGTGAGAAGAGCAAAAAGCAAGTGACACTTCTATGCACCTGAGAGAGCACATGGCTGTTTCCGGACTACTGGAGTGCATGTTCACACGTGGTGGAAATGCTCTCTTATTCCAGAAACCAAGCTAGGCATCCCCAAGGTGTGCATACCCAACGACCTGCACTCAAAACATCAGCCGATTTCAGTTTTTACCCCCTCGTCTGGGGAAAGAGAAATCCCACCCTGAGGCAGTGTGATGACCCTGGGTCTACAAACCCCATATGAGCAAACACCAGCTTCCAACTTGGTACTATCTGACCCCCTGAAACTAAAAGAAGACTTTCAGCAGCCAGGGCAGGGCTCGCCCTGATGAGAAGCATTTAGAAATCCGGAGAGGAGACTTGTGCATGGCATACCTCGTCAAATGGCTGAAGTGAGTGTAAAGAAACATAACTCAGACTAAGTACCAGCTCGTTCTCTGACTACATGCTGCCAGCCATCACCGAGAACTACTAACAAACACCACATCTACTGCTGCCTGATAACACAGTTGCCTTCACAGCACTGCACACTGTACTCTTGCAACACTTTAACACAAAGTTTACTCCTAAACCTGAACTTCTACAGGCCTTCCCAAGGGTCTCAGAGGATGGGAGGGAAAGATCAAGGAGTGAAGGCTCTTCCACAGTCTCCAAAACCCACAAAGGGCTTATGTCTCAGAATATGTCTCCATTTTAAAAGCCAGTAGCTTATTCCCATCGACACACAGGATACAGAAAAGAAATGGGAATGCCAGTCCCCAGGCCATCGTGGCGTGGATGTAGGCAAGTGGCAAGGACGTGTACCAGGCACCCGTGCTGCTACTGATGGGAGACTAGCACCAACATCCAGCACAGAGTTAGGAGAACTTTTATCTTTAAAAGTGGCTACAGACAGAAATTATTTACCAGTGTGATGAACCATGAGCTAACACATCCTGCATAATTGTTTCTATACTTGACTGGAAACCAAGTACAGGGTAACATAACACCTGACTTTATTTAAATCCCTTTAGTAACAATATTCGGTGTCTGATTTAAAAGTTATATCAACACTATCATGACAGAAAATAAAATTCTTTCTCTTAATAATTAGGTTTATTTTTACTATTATCAGTGAATTCTCATAACTGCTTTACAAGATGCCTTTTTAAAAAAGTTTACTTTGGCAGCGAGAAAGACAGACAGATAGACAAAGATAGAAAGAGACATAAAAACTTACAAGTTTAGCTAATTATTTGTGATAATGCTTTGTTTTCATTATAAGCTACAATTTTCTAAAAATCTTTTGTTTTCACTATAAGCTACAGTTTTCTAACAATCTTTAGTTCTTATGGGTACAAATGTACTGGAATATATTATGATATTTGTAGAAATGCTTATTTCTAGCGATGAACCTATCAGAATATCCTTTACCAGGAAAATGAATAAAATCTTTTAGCCTAAAAGATTTTTATAAGAGAGGCTACTGAATCACAGAAAATAAAGTCGCCACCTCTGCATTTTCTCCACTACACCCTCGCTGTTGGCGTCACCAGCCCCCCACCATCACCCCACCCCACCTCATGAAAATCTGAATGAGTAAGCTTCAAAATGGTAACTGCAGTATAAAATTCTTCTTTTACAATTACTTATAGAAATAAATGACATTTTCCCCATCAAATAAAACAAAGACTCCAGATCATCATTTTTGCTATTTCTTTTTGTGTCAAAACAGCTTTGCCATCACTCCCCCACCCTTCCTGAGCCTAGTGCAATGGTGCAGAATGTGACAGTGTGAGCGTGTACAGTGTGTCCTGCCATCGGGGGGACACTCACAGCACCCTACAGACTGCAAGGAACCGTGTGAACCAGCAAGCACCAGCAGCCCAGGAGGAGGCGCCGCCAGCCTTCACACACACGCATGTGGGGGTGGGTGTGGATGTGCAAGAGTACACACGTGTGTGTGTACATAGGTGTGAGTGTGTGCAGGCAAGTGTGTATGTGCATGGGTGTGAATAAAAAATTTTAAATTATATAGGCCCTACCATTCCCAAAATGGAAAAGGGACAACTGGTTCTTATGGTTAGACTTCATTTTTTAATTACATCTTGTTAATATTTTCTGTCATAAAATGTGCCTTCTGGATGCCAATGTGTCCCTGAAGATACGCTGTCACCCTGAGCAACATGAAATTATGTGTGTTCTAATACGAGTGGACATAAGGCAATGTATACGGTCCCTGTTAGAGCCTCATATGACACCAACAATGTGTGACCTGACGGTTTACAATGTAAACACACACACACCGTCTGAAAAACATTCTCATCTCAAATTGTAATTATATGAGGCACAAACATCGTATCTTTAGCAAATTAGATAAAAATTAGGTTTCTCAATTTGTAGCCCAACATTGTTTAAAATATCTTTGTTTCTTTAAAGAAAACAAGACTCACTCTAGTCAACAGTCATTTTTAAGGATGGGTGAGAAGTGACAGCTGTATTTGCTTTTTAATGGCTAAATGTGGTAAAGTTGCAAATTCCCTTGAGTCTTAATAACACTGGCTCTGAGCAATTAGGTTTGTATTCTCCCCGAACTTGCATCTCAATCTGTACCCCAATTATGCACAAAATAAAGGTGTTTTCTTAAACCATCCTGTTTTATATTCCATAAGAGGTGAACACCCCCAGAATGCTGCCTCACTGTTATCGCGGCTCTGTGGATAGATGAACAAGTGTGGGTGCTTTGCTAAAGAGCTGAAGCAACAATAGAAGAAAGGCTTCCCCGAACACGCTCTGCTTTCTAAAAGTCAGCTTCAAATCTATCCTGAAAAATCTAGCAGACACCCCAAATACCCACACACACTATGGAACATCCGTGCACCCCATCTCTTCCTCCTCAGTGGCAAAACACCCTGATGAAAAGCAGAAGGTGTGTCCCTTTCACAAAAGGTACAGTGTTCCCACATTTGGATGTCTGGAGTCACTGGGATATTAGTATTAATATAACAGGCCAGCTGACTAGGTGTTTCCATTTCTAACTCATCTGGATAGTAAATAACACAGTCTTCATCGGAGAAAGGTCGCTATACTGGAAAATACAATGTACAAATGCAGCATTTTAGGATGAAAATATGTGGAACAACCCACATTAACATACTTGGATTGACAACGATGTCACGGGGCACATATTCCCCTTGAGAGATGACCTGATATTCTCTCTAGAAGGAGAGTACAAGTAGAGGGATACAGTGACAAGGAATTGAGTTCCAATTTAAATTCTTTTTAAATAGCACTAGCAAGCCAAGTGAAATGGCTCTTCTTCACATTAACAACTTAAAGAACTAGAGTGACTCTCTAGGCAAAGAGAAGGCCACTCTGAAAGAGGATTATTTCTAATTACAAAGAAATGAAGAAAACGCCAGTTCTCTGTCCTCCCTTTAAGTTTTAGAGGAGTCCTAAGAAATCTAGTGGAATCGCCCTGTGGTTTTGCCCAGCTGAAGATGAGCCTGGCAGGCAGCCCATTAGAGGGGTGCACACAGATCCCTGGCCCCTCCTCCCCTCTTTCCCTCTCATCCTCCCTTAGAATGAAAAGAGCACGTTATTAGCAAAGGTCTGCAAAAGGAGACCAAGGCGCCTTGCGTGCCCGCGCAGTTCTGCAGGATTCTCATCTCTGAGACCCGCGCGCTCTTCCTCTTCTATCTGATAAACTATACATCCGAGCATTCTCATTAGGGCTCCCATCACCAAAGGGAGTGGAGATGAATCAGTCTATGCCCCCTCCCCTCTCTGCTCTGTCGAGATGATTTCATTGAAATGTTCATTTTCATCCCTGCTGGCAACATTCAAATGGAAGTATTTAACCTGTTTCCATTACTTATACAAATTACCATTATGGGGTAGGACAGATGTTAGAATCACGCCACATAACTGACTTCCATAGATTCTTTACAGGAAGTGAGAGGAGAAGGAAGGCAGCTAGATCATATTATCCAGGCTCAATAATGTTCTCTCTGTTACCAGATTCATTAACTTCGCACATCAGCATTTCACTTTCTTTCTTCGTGGAAATTCCCAGGCTCGTTGGACTCATTTAATTTGGAGAGAGAAAGCTTTGTCAGTGATAATGTTTTGATCAGGTGCGTTAAGGGGGTGGGGAGGGGACCAGGAAGCGGGAAGGGGGGAGGGGCAAGAAAAAAGAAGAGGGGGAAGAGGAAACAACCTTGTCGAAAATGCTACCTTCCCAACATGAATGATAAAAGAGAAGTCAGTTAGAGATGCAGGGACTCAAAGATGGCTGTCACTTCAGATAGGCACGGGCACAACTCACCGAGACAGGTGACACTTTGGTGGAGCAAAATCCTGCTGCATTATTGAGCACACCAGGGATAGGGCTCAGGAAGACGCAGGCCCAGGGTGCCTGGGGCACCTAATAGAGAAGTGAATTCTGCAGGTGAGTGGATTTCACTCTTCATTTGCATCCTTGAGTGAAGCGAGAGATAAAGTTTCCCAGCTAAAAAGATGGAAGAAGGTGCTTCAGTCTTAGTCTGGGTTCAAGCCTCAAGCATTCTTCACAGTATTCCTCCCTGATCCATCCAAAGGAGAGGCTGGAGGGATGCCCACATAACGAGGGGATGTGCAGGGCCCTTGCGCGAGTCATTACTTGCATTTTCAAAAATTTAGTATAAACAATTCCTTGTCTAAGGACATTTTCTCCGATTTCTTCTGATCGGCTGCCTGTGAGGTCCCTGAGTCCACACGGCAACCACATCTCTAGACACGGACTACAAGTGGGATTCCTGGAGAATGCACAAGGTTTGGGTAACACGATTTCTAAAATAAATGATGCATTCGTGGAGCATAAGAAACAAAACAAATTCTATCCCATTTGTTTCTGCAGGAAAGTCTCTTACTGAGATCAGCTGAAGCAAGCACAGGTCCTCAACTCGCAACTTTTAACTTCATTTCCATGGTTCTCTCTTTCCCTTCAGCCTCCTTTGGTTCTGCCCATGAAAATGCTTGGAGAACAAGATGGAGCATGCTTCACTTAATGAAAACAGAGGGGGAAAGGAAAGATTCAGAAAAAAAGAAAACACACTAATAAAATCTAAACTACACCATGGGAGTGGGCTAAAAAGTGGAAGTTATTAAAGTCAAGTCAGAGTAGGAAAAAAGGATGTTTGATGCTAACGGTTCCTAAATACTCACGACAGTAGCCTGAAAGAAGACAGTATACACATGCAAATATATTCTCTGTAGAAAGCCCACTCCGATCATCAGAAGCAATTTTTTTTCAGTGACAATATTGAAATCTAATCTCAGATAGGAAGAAAACGTGTTCTCGGATAATGATCCACCTGGATAGAGAAGGATATTTTTCTAGCACACTTGTAATTTATTTGGGAGGACTATATTTGAGAGAAAAAATTTATTTGTTCTTGAATAAACATTTCAGACCCACAGAATATCTGCTCAACCAGCATTACGCTTTGCATTAAAATGTCATTGAATAGGAACAGGTTAATATCTGCTGAACCCTTCCTCTGGACCAGGCACCGTCGTTAAGTACCCTACACGTATTAACTGTGTTAGCTCCTCACCAGCACTACAAGGGGAAATCCTCTTTCACGCTCTATTCCCACATGAGGAAACTGAGGCACGGAGGTTAAGTGAGGCGCCCCAGGCCACGCCGTCGGTAAGACAAGGCGCAGGGGCTTTCCCTAGATGGTCCACCCCAGAGCCAGGTTCCTGACACACAGCCATAATGCTGCAATGGGCCATCTCTATCAGCAACTGTAAGTGGCATGAGTTTAAACCTGATTCCAATTTCAGAATAGGGTGCTTGCAAAATCAGGTCCTTGTCTACATGAGGGTCAACAAAATTGGTCTTGGGTAGTTCTCCCTAAAAGTTCTGGTCACATGTATCCTCCATGACAGGCTACAGAGGACAGTATTTTCAGGACTGCCATTTATGGGATGGCTACAAAGCCCTGTCGGAATCTGTTTCCAGCCACGTCGACTCAGGGTCCATCACAGAGACAGAAGGTAGAACGGTGGCTGCTGGGAGCCAGGGGAGCTGGGAACAAGGGGTACTGTTTAATGGGTATCGAGTTTCAGTTTAGTTTGAGAAGATGAAAAAGTTCTGGGAATGGGTGGGGTGGTGATGGCTATACAGCAATGCAAATGGATTTAATGCCACTAAATTGAACACTTAATAATGGTTAATATAATTTTATACATCGTATCAATTTTATACATTTTACCACAATAGAAAAATAGGAGGATCAAAAACGTCTGTTTCCAACCTCGCCAGCCAGGCTCCCTCTATGGAGTCAGCTCTGCTCCACCCGACAGCTGCCCCTCGACAAACAGGCTCCAGCATTGCCACCTGCCAGCCTTCAGGGCCCTCCCCCAACTCCCCCCAGCCTGTGATTCCCCCACACCCTGCGGCCACTTAATCATAGCACAGGGGAGGTAACCACGGGTCTAGCGATCTGTCTTCCTGCTGGGCCAGGTCTCCTTGAGCACAGAACAACATCTTAGTGAACCTTGGATCCTGGCAGCTAACATGGTGCCTGGAACAAGTGAATTAAAGAATGAGCAGACCCTGCATGTAATCCAAAGCAAACCAATGCAGACACATGCGCTGAGGCTGTGGCTTGTTTCCATACATGTGATGCAAATTTCCATGTGGCCCAATTGGCTGGGCAGGTGAACCCTGCTGTATTAGAGCAGAAACACATCTTTTATCAATCTCTAGTATAAAATACTTGTTTAAGGAGACTTTTTAAAAGATCGTATTTCCAGTATGCTGGCCACCTAGCCCATGTGGCAGTCAACAGGAAGCCTCACTGTCGTCAATCAAACACCGTTCTTCCCAAGTTCTGAAGGCCCTAATGATTTGACTGTGAATAGGAACAACCCATCAACTGGAATCATAAAGGGAAGAAAATGGGGTGGAAAAGGGAAAAACAGCCACTCTGAAATCCTGTCTCAGAAGATCCATCTTTCCTGAGTTGTGCCTCCCGTTAAATCAGTAAGAATATCTGTCAGAGACATCGCGCTACACCATTTGGCTGATGTCAAACCTAAATAAACCAGATCAGAAAACCAGCAAGTGGCAGGAGGGAAATGAATGGGCACAGAACAGTCTCACTGTAACTCGCATGGTTTGCTTGCTGATTTTTTGGGGAGGGGGAGGAGGGAAGTCGTGGCAATCACTGCAGTCATTTGCAGTACTAATGTCCAATTCAGCCTCCTTTCATTCCCCTGATTTAGGTGGTCAGAGTGGTTTTGTAGCCGACACGGGGAAGCTGCGCTGTTTAGCAGGCAGTTTAATGGGAAACTGGCAGTCTTATTTCTTTTCTAGATTTGGTTTGTCACTAGGTCTCCATTACATGCCACTCAGCTTTGATGTCTTTGGACAGGACTGATCAAAAGATGTCATTTGACCTACACAGCATGGCAGAAACTTGGAGAAGTCTCATAAAGCGACACTCTGGCTGTAAATAAAATGACATTATTATTTCCTCTCTCCTATCATGTAGAAAAGCCAATTATGGTAATGCACTGCATGTCAATGAAAATACAGCAATCTTTTTGGAGCAGCGACTGCAGGCATCAGTGCTGCAACTCTCCTTCCTGGGAAAATCTGCCCATTGGAAAATGAAGAGGAAGGAGGTGATAGATGTCTTAAAGATGGTTAATAAAATCCTGGACCGCCAAGAAAAGTGCAAGTCAGCAAAACAATTGGAAGTGCAAAATGCAAACTGTTAAGTTTCCAAATTATCTAATAATTTAATCTTTGGTGATTTATATTCTGTCACCAAAATGGCCAGTATCATGTCCTGCATTTCTTAGCACTTGACTGACAGGAAGGGCGATTTATAGTGCTAATAACCCCCTTTGAACCCACTTCTTCTTAAGGAAGCTGACACGGAGGGGAGGGGAAATTCTGACCTTGTCCCTGAGATTCATTTAGAAGTTGCAGTCATGAGGTGTAGTGCTGTCTGCCCTGTGTCGAGGAGACGATGTAAAATGTCATACAGGCTACTGTGCCGCTATTGTTTCAGAATGCCCGATTTTATGCATTTCCACTTGTGCAAAACATTCACCATCTTTCTCATACTCAAGCATATGTCAGAACTGAATATACACACGAAAGGTCTCTTCCCCTTTTCAGAAGCGTTTCTTATACCCAGCATCATTTCTGTCACAAACGGCTATCATTTAACAGTACACACTTATTCACTCCATTTAGGGAAGAACCCTCTCCTTTGTCCTCCCCACTCACAATGTCTCCCCCTAATTCAGAGACACTTGAAGCCTATTGCCTGTGATGTATTTCAGGACCCACTGGAGCAGCCCTACCACTGTTTACGGTCTGGAAGCAATGAACAGCCTTCCATCTCCTTGGATCCCACCTCCGGTTCTTACTCCATGCCAAACCTCTGAAGAAACCCTCGCCACTGAGCTCACACCAGTGTGGCCGCCTGACTCCACGGTCTGTGGGTGAGATGGGGTCCATGTCTTCCGTGACTATCCTATGTGTCCAAGATGCAGCATTAACCTGTGTTTTCAGTCGGCATCATTTCTTCGAGTTGGAAAAAGATGGCTTCAGACCAGCTTTGGCAGGATTAGGGGCAGAGCTGCAATGTAAAACGAGGTTTTCTCCCAGGGGACACATTTTCATATTTCTGTAATCATGGTGTATATTCATTTTAAGAAAAAATAGAGCCATGCAATTTGTGTCCATTGAAATCAAGGAAATAAAGCAATTTTCAGAGCGACTAAGTCTATGACAGAAATAAAAACTCTTTGGCTATGTCACAAAATTTTTTAAATGCTCTTAATTGTTTGGGTAAAAGAAATTTCATTATGACAAGTCATTTCCAAGCACACATTGCAACTACATCTTTTTCCCCTGCAATTTAATTTTGGTGCATAATACAGTTCAGATTAAATTTAGAAGCTTCATCACATTTTAGAAACTTTAAATAATATTCTTTATGTCAATACTGCCGGGGCGTAACAAGATCTGACACTTGTAAGGCTACAAATTGCACTGAACACAGTCCCAGGGAGTCCCCGCCAGGACCCAGCGCCCAGCTCCTGCAGGTGATCTATAGGAGCCCACAACTATAGTTCTTGACTCAAGCACCATCAATTGCAGTTTGCAGGTGGTAGGTGAAAGAAAATTTAAGCTGTTCAATTTTAGTGCCACTTTTTGGCTTTCAAAAGACATCCTTATGGTTCAAGAGAACATAAGACTGTGACCTGTTTTCCTATCCTCTGTTCTGCTTCCTGAGGACTGCATTAATTACTATTACTCCTACATACAAGTTGGATTTCTGTTCGTGAATACTCTAGCCAAGGTCTGTAAGCAGCTCACACCCACCCCTCCTCGAAGCTCCTGCCTCATTACATGGGGACCTATGTTATCTGCACATGAACTCAATGAAAACGGACTCTATGAATTCTTGTTTTTACTTGGAGGCCTAGTATTATCTACAACCTATAAATCAATCCACTGTATTGAAGTCAGGAGGCTTTCCTCAAAGAGCTACCGTTTGATCTATTCCTAACTTGGAAAAAGAATTCTAGAACAGATGAGTTGACTTCGACAGCTAAGTGTGAGGACAGGGTGAGGCCCTAGCACTGGGCTGCAAGTCTCCTCCCACACCACATGTGTATCATGGGCCGTGGTCTGTCACCCTTCTAGTAACCCTTGTCCGATGGGACAGCATCGATCGCTCGCCTGGGGATGGGGGCCTCTGTGGTCTAGGCTCAGGACACCAAAAACGGTGAGCAGTGCAGGTCTCTGTGCAGTAATAAAATGTTAGTACCACTTGCTTTAATTAAGAATTTCCTCCAGATCTCATTTAACCTCAGACTAGAAGACTCGGTTCTTTCCAAAGAACACTTTCGTAAACTGATTCCCAAATCCGACAAGAAAAAAGACAGTCTATTGTTAAGCAATCCTAGAAAAGCGTTATTTCGCTAAGTATAAGTACTTTATTGCCTTTTAGGTGGGATTTCATGAGATTCGTGTAAGGGGGAAAATAGTAAATTCATCATCGGACAGGAAAATGACAAAGCATTTCTGCATTTCTGAGCTTTGAGGGGGTCTCACCTAGAAAGTGAGAGGGAATGAGATAGGGGAGAAGCAGATTTATCCACTGGATATTTCATTCTCTACCCCAATATTAAATTTTATGTGGGGAATCTAGGAGTTTAAAAGCTTCACATTTTTGTGTCATAAAAAAGAAATACAATATCCTGTTGCTATGCACAGTGACACTTTATGCAGCAAAGAAAACCATTCTCCTTAGCTATTCTTTGAAATACGACCTACGACGTCATTTAATTTTTGAAAACCCTAAGGTCATGTAACACACTTTCTCTGTCATTTGTAAGTACATTAACTCAGTGGCCATACGACAGTGAAATTATGATAATGGGTTGCTCAAATGGGTCAGGCAGCCATTGCATTTCATGTTAGCTTCAAACCACCATCAGGACGCAGCCCAAATCAAATATGACAGTAGAAAAGCACAGAGTTTACTTTTCTTAAAGTGTTTCTACTTACTCAAGCACACATACATGGCGAGCCAAAGGGACCCCACCTCAGTGAACTGCAAGAAAATATTCTACTCAAATTTCTCTTAAATTTTTTTTTTTTTTTTTTTTTTTTTTTTTTTTTTTTTTTTTGCTTTAAAACTCACAGATGTCGAGATAAAAGAGAAAGAGGTCACAGTGGGCTGCTTTCCAAAACATTTCTCCACCACGGTCCAAGATTGGAACAAGTGGGATCATATTCTGCATGTAAAACTGCTCTATTACATTAAAATATTTTAAAACAGAAGCATATTTAACGTACCAATTTAAGCCAAAAAAAATTTTAATAACACTTGTTTTGTGCTGAACTCTTGTGAGAAGTGAGAAGAGACAGAAAGTAGAAATTTATTTTAGCTGTGGATAGTCCATCTTTGCCTAAAGCATAATTGAGCAAAAAATGCCTAGAATTCATAACTAGAAATGTTTGTCTCCTCAATGTCAAAAAAAATTCCTTATAAAATAACAGATCTGACACTAAAGTTTAAGAATAAACTTTTAAAAAGACATTTAAGTATGCACGCCCTGATAAGCTTATCCTGACTTGCTTCCATAATTCTGTATCTACACAGTCCCTTCCCTTGCACGCAGGGGCTGGCCTTCAGTTGGCCCAGGTATCATGCTCCTGACTCAGGAGACCCTGCCAAAGAACCCCACCTCAAAGCACAATCACGTTGGGCTCAGAATTAAGTTGCTAACACCTATGTA